GAATAGATAAGCAAGATTATACTGTATAGCACAGGGAAATATATACAAGATCTTGTGGTAGCTCATAGCAAAAAAAAATGTGACAATGAATATGTTCATACATAACTGAAAAATTGTGCTGTACACTAGAATTTGACACCACATTGTAAAATGACTATTACTCAATAAAAAAAAGTTAAAAAATAAAAAAATAAAATAAAATATGGATGCCTGTACCCTAAAAAAAAAAAAGAAAGCCTACGGTTAATAATACATGAATGACAGTTAAGTGGTTGCTTAGTCTTACAAAACAGTAAAGCACTTAGTCTTTGTGTATGTATATAGGGGTTAGATGCAGTTAAAAATAAAGTGAACACATGAGGGCAAAAACATGTTTGTAAAAAAACGTTTTTTTTTTTTCATGAAGCTCACACAATTACATTAAAATAATTATCTATGTATTATTAGGATAGTTCCAGCAAAAGGAGTTTTAGTAAGGCTTATTGAACTCGAAAGCTGCAACCCTCTCCGGCATGGAGGCTTCTGGGAAGAATACCATTTGTATTTTGATAGCAGTTTCAGGTGTGGAATGAGATCCTGATAATCCTTTCTCCACCAATTGATTGGCTCAGTCAGGATGCTTGGATTCAACTTAATATGATCATATTTACATCACATATGGGATATTCTAGTGCAAATCAGAAGTTGGAGTGATCTGTACATTGTGTGGCCAATGTTTCCAGTTTAAACTAGAAATTATGGTTTGTGTTATCAGTGGTTGAATGAAGTTTTAGCTTCCAAGTCATAGTGTTGCCTCCACAGGCTACACATGTCAACAGTGGCCAGTCTCGTCACTCTGTAGGCGCGTTGCCAAATACGTGGCAGAAATTTATACTTTGTTGGTATGGTATATGATGATTTATACAGTGCTTCAAATAAAAAGCATACAGATGGGAAATATTAGTGTAAAAGTATAACATTTTAATGGAATATTAAGAGAGTGAAGACATTTTAATGTAAGTTTCTTTGTCTTTATTTTAAAGAATTCAGAAGGAACTTGCAGAAATTACGTTGGACCCACCTCCCAACTGTAGGTAAGTACTTATGGATTTATTTATTTGTATCTTTTGCAGAAGATATAATTGAATTGTTGGTCTGATGTGCAACTGTGGTTGTAGTCAGATTAATTAGTAAAAACATCATTGTGGTTTGTACTTAAATGACTGTGGAAGATAGTGGTAGTGATTGTCTCTGCGCAGAAATGGGATATTCAGCAAGAATGTTTGTGGTGGTAGCATGGAATTGCCAAAAAAGGAGTAATGCAGAAACAATAAGATGATGAAATTATAGGGTGATAAATACAATGATCGGTTTAGTGGAAGAAGTGTTGGGGTTATAAATGATTTGTTTAATGATGGAATAATAGTGGCTAAAATATTTGTTATTTGATAATTGTTCAGTTGTTATCTTGTTGGCAATTGATCTTTTAAAGTGCATTAAACAGTTTCTTCATGGTTTACATTATTTCTTATGTCATTGGTTGTGGCTAAGTAAGAATGGGTAATTGGAGGCAGTAGTGTTAAATTTTAAGCACTTTCTCCTTTATGACCACAAACCTGAATTTTCTGGTCAGAGCTTACTTACAGGAAGTTAAAGTGTGTGCCTGGAAATAGTTAATGATATGCAGGTTCATAGAGGAAGTAGAGAGAAATAATCTACTTTATACTATCTTGGTGCAGTAGTTGGAAGACGGTGTTTGGCTATTTTAAGGTATTTCTTTCTTTTTTTGATATGAGGTCAGTATTGGAACCAGGCCAACATGGAGTTTTAAATTGGTAGGCTTGTGCATTAAAGGTGAGAGGGCAGATTTCCAATATTGAATGCAAGTTTGAATGCAGTATTGAATGAATTATTTGGTATGATTTATGATTTTACCGATCTTATTTTTATATGTAAGCAAAGATAGCAACTCTCGTTATTAATGAAAGTGAAAATTTTGCAGATGGCTGTTGACAACTATTTTGTATAGGGAAGATTCTAATAAGACTTGATGTTTGTGGTGAATTTAATATGGTTCTTTACATAAGAGTCATAAATGGTATATAAACTTGCAGTAATAATGTTCAAAGACTGTTTCACTCAGCTAGAACAAACCATTCTTTGTTAGGTAAAACGAACAGTTAAGAGTTTTCTGTCACACTTAAGACTGTGTTACATCAAAGCTATTTCAGATGGCAGACTGGTGTTTAGGCTTTGGTAGCCAATTCGTATAAGTGGATTGATTTGTGGAAAAACTTCAGTTTGAATTAAACTTAAAATCCCTTGTTTCTTAGGATAGCATTTGTTTTAATGGTTTGAATTTTTAAAAAATAGGCTTTTATCACATATATTATTTTTGTTTCCTTTTTACAAATAACTGAACTGGAAAATATGTGAACTTAATTTATACACTTACTTGCTCAAATTTTGACAACAGATTATTGGCAAAATAAACTGACTGCTTTTGAAAAATGAGCTTATTTAAGGCTCATTTTTGATAAATGAAATCCACATATAATATCATGTGATGATTAGGCTATTTGCAACTTTACTATCAGATATGTTATTTTCTAATGCATTAGTCTAATTTAGCCACAGATAATGATTTAACTTTGATTAAACCAATATATTATAAACATGTATGAAAACTTAAGAGTCTGAGGAAAGGAATTATATAATGGTAATTACTTAGATAAATGAAAACATACCAGAGATCTATTTAATGTAAAAAAGAGAAGTTTAACTATGGTGTCATCTGAAATTTGGGGATTTACTTTTTCGTTGAGTCTTACTTAATGTGTCATTACTGGTTATGTAAGCTCTTTATAAATAATGCAAAATATACATAATAATTTTCATTTTTAAATGTAGCTGTCACATGTAATAAGCCCTGCAGACGGTTTCAGGAAAGATAGCTACTTAGTTGTATTTTTTCCCCACAGTGTTATTGAGATATTGACATAGAAAGATACCTTCTTTGGTTAATTTGTTGGCTTATGGGAATTTGTAATGAAGTTCTTTTAACAGTATGGAGATTGCATAGCTAGTTTGCTTTAGAAGCAAGGTCTACTGGTACAGTGGCTTTGGCTCCTTTTATTGATCCTCAAATAGTTGATTGGACTGATCAGAGATAAAGGTCATATCCACCTCCACGTACATGGTGCTCCCCTTTTGCAAGCAGAAGGCCCTCTAGGCTGTGGCTAGTGGGGATGTGGGGTGAGTTCCACATTCCCTGTGTGCTTGTGCTGCTTGATACAGACGTTCAGTGTGCTTGTCAAGTGGGTTACTGTGGTCTTTGGATTTTTTGGTGTCAAACATTTGATTGTGGTTTATAGTAAATCTCCCTGTCTGTATTTCAATGAGAATGTGGTTACTGTCTTGAGAAAGAGAAGTTAGAGAATAATTTTAGTTTGGTTTATTTTTGGCACAAAACAAACAGTGCTCTTGTGGTTGATTTTAAAAGCTCTGTGCTGCCTTCATGTATGTCCTAATGACTATAATGAATTAATTTATAGAAATGTGGTAAATTAAAGCCATCTGCCTAATAGAAAGAGTCAAAATTCCATTCACCTAGTGCTCCCTTTGTGTATTGCCTTTCCTGGGACACCTGCCTCTCAAAATCCTACCTTTTGGTTGCTTGGGTAGTTATTAACTCACTATCACAGATAAGGCTTGTGTGTGAGGATTGTGGATTTAGGCAATCAGAGGGGAGAGAATTTTATCTATTAGCTGTCTCCATGAGAGTAGGTGTATATCACATTCCACCTGGAGTGGTTTATTCTTTTTTCCTGGAACCTTAAGAAGCTAATCCAGCCTGGTTCTGTGTGTATGTCAGGTTAGAGATGGGACCTCAGAATTTCCATTCATCTCTTATGTGATGTCCGGTCAAGCAACTTCTGGGTTCATATTGAAGCAGATAGCATGTGGTTGTCCTCTCCTGTAGTATTGTTGAAGATCTTTTCAGGTTTTGAATGAACTTAAATATTTTAAAAGAGCATCCACAAAATAATGTGATAATAGGTTAACTTATTTCTTCTTATAGGAAACACATGCCTGTACATCTTCTGGTTTTCTTTTCACATTTTTTGTTGTCCTTGAGGTAAAAATGCAATAATACAGCTTTTTTTAAAGCTGGGTTGAATTTTTTATATTATAGCATCAGAGTTAATGTTTAAAAACAGAACTTTATGGTATATCTAAGAAAAAGTTTCTGTTAATAAACTCATAGGGTCTGTAGGGCCATAGGCTTAGAAAGGTGTACATAATTCGGGTGAAACTTGGTTATATACTTGGAGTATTCTCTATAGAAAGTAGAATACATTTTTCTTGGCCTTGGTGTTTATGATTGGTAACATAATAGACCCATGACATTTGCAGGGCGCCATCCAGAGGCCTCTGCAGATCCATAAATGTTTTCATGACCTTGCTGAGTTGGAGGTGTTAGGCTGTTGGCTAGAGTTGCTCACAACCTCAGTGCCCTGCACACCAGCTTAGCTTGTACACAACTATGATGTGACTTTCAGGATTCTTCACAGTTGTCAAAAACAGATCTTAAATCTGTAGTGTGCTAGTGTGTTCATTTCTATTTCCTTGGTGCTGGTGGAGAACTGGCAGCTAGCCAGAAACACTTTCAAATTAAAGTAAAAATTTTTGTTATCCAAAGGATAACCTGTTTCTCTGTAATGCAGAGAAGTTAAATCCAAATTTTATTATGATCTGATAATGCCCAAGTTTATGTTAGCTTTATGAGCATGGAAATGACAGAGGTCCTTATTACTTTTTGTAAGTAGTTTGACTATGGTAAAATGATTCATTTTGATTTTGACTTTTGATTTAGTAATTGAGCAGATAATAGGAGAAAATACTACAAAAGAGGGTGTGCTTCAGTTACACTAGCAGTTTTCACTTTTTATTGCTGTTTCAATGATCTCATTGAGCACAGGCTCTGCTTTATTTTTTAATTGTAACAGCTTTATTGAGATATAATTTAAAATGTAAAATTCAGTGACTTTTAGTATATTCCCAGAGTTTTATACCCAGAATAGTCAATTATACATTTTGATCAAACAAATCAATTTTACATTTTGATCACACTAAAACGATACACCATACCTTTTATCAATCACTCTTTCCCTCTTTCCCAATTTTACCACCATGGAGCCCTGGGCAACTATGAGTCTACTTTCTGTCTCTATAGATTTGCCTCTGGACATTTTGTGTGAATGGAATCATACAATATGTGGTCTTTTGTGACTGTCGGGTTCTTTCATAAAGCATAATGTTTTCAGGTTTCAGCTGTATTGTAATGTTCATCAGTGTTTTACTTTTTTTTTTTGCCTCAATAATACTGCGTTGAATGGATATGCTACATTTTATTTGTCCATTCATTAGTTCATGGACATTTGGGTTGTTTCCACTCTTTGGTTATTGTGAATACAACTGCTGTGAACGTTTGTGTACGAAGTTTTTTGTGGACATTTGTTTTCATTTCTCTTGGATAGATACCTAGGAGTATTGCTGGGTCATATAGTAACTATGTTTAACCTTTGGGGGAACTGCCAGACTATTCCAAAGCGGCTGTACCATTTTACCTTCCTACCAGTAGTGTATGAGAATTCCAGTTTCTCCACAACCTTGGCAGTTGTTATTGTCTGTGTTTTTGATGATAGCCTTCCTGGGAGGGGTGAAGAATTATGTCATTGTGGTTTTGATTTGCATTATTCTGTTGAATAATGATGATGACGACCGTCTTTTCATATGCTTATTAGAGATTTTTGTATCTTCTTTGGAGAAATGTGCATTCAAATTCTTTGAGTAGTTTAAAATTGAGTTTTTGTCTTTTTGTTGTTGAATTGTAAGTGTTCTTTATTTATCTTGAATACAAGTTCCATCAGATATATGGTTTGCAAATATTTTCTTCCATTTTGTGGATAGTGTTTTCACTTTTTTAATAGTGACCTTTGAAGCTTTAAGGTTTTAAAATTTGATGAAGTCCAATTTTTTTTTGTTGCTTTGTGTATTTAGTATCATTTTAAAGAAACAATTGCCTAACCCA